ATTATTATTATTATTATTATTATTATTATTATTATTATTATTATTATTATTATTATTATTATTATTATTATTATCATCATCATCATCGTCATCATCAACAATTATATTATCCGATGAGAATAAATTTGAAGCATTACTAGTTATAGATGATGATGCTCGAAAAACGAATAATTCATTGAGTGTGTCATTAACAATTTTCGTCTTCTGTGCACCGAATACGGGACGTGAAGTCGTAGAAATTGAGACGACAATGGCTATACTATTTGGAAACTAAAGAGCAAAATTCAAGGTAGTCTATTATACTGCGACAAAATAATAATCAGCAATTGGTTGACTCATTTTTACCTGTGATTGAAGTTCTCGCTGTTTTGCAATATCTGCATCAGTTGGCGTGTATTTGATACTTGATGAAAAATGACTGGAGGTTTATAATTGAGTAGTAGTAAATCGATACAGCAACTAACATTAGACTATCATATATACAATCGAATCATAACTTCTAAATGTAAAATATCATACCTTCGATACCAGCCTATTAAGTTACATCCTAAACTCTTAAATAGTTCAAGTGCATGTGTTCTGGCTGTATCGGTTTCGCGAATATTACCAGTTAAAAGGGATGGCAAAGATCTTGAGAACAAAACGCGCGCATAAATGAATCAAGTTGTAAACAGTCTAAATAAGCATGCGCGTGTTATTTTAAATCGTATCACGCTTACCTTCCTGATGAGTAAAAATTGGTGACATGACACGTGATGGTATCTCTCTCCGGTGTATCCATAGTACACATTCCACCCAGATAACCCAAAACATGGTGACGGCAATCCGAATAAGCACACTCTAAAAGAGCAGATACTAAAGATTCATCAATCACAACGCGAAAATTCGCGCTAAAAAATAAAGTATAAAATAAATAATATATTTATATATTGTAGATTAGATTAGCTTTTCTAATATACGTAAAAACATGCCTCATATGAAATGACTGATCGCGACAAAGAATACTTGATCAACTTCGCTTTCTGATAACTCAGAATGGAATTAGGAGGAGCTTGCTTACCCAGCAGGGTTATTTTCTAGATTTCTATTTGAAATTTTATTGCTATTCGTACGATCAGTTGATGCTGCTGGCGGCGTGTTAGACTGCACCATGTCTAAGGATAGCTTATAAATCTCTCGTGACTACATAATATTTATGCAAGCATAAGGTTGATCCATTATCAAGCAAAAAAATTTATTGAGCTACATTTTGTTTTTCCTTATTTGTAAAAGTTCCTATTAAAGAGGAAAAATCAGCATGAAATGCTGAGTTGAATTTTATTATATATTAATCTTTCATTTATCTTTTAAAAATTAAATAATTTTCTTTATTATGATTAAAATATTTTAAAATAATTATTACCTTTTTAAATTACAAAATTAATATATAATAAAAATTTCTTAAATTAAGTTATTATTTTTTATATAATTTTTAAAATTAAAAAAAGTATATAATTACAAATTTAAATATTTTATAATTAATATTGCTAATTGATCAATAAACTGAATTTTTTTAAAATAATTTTTATATATTAACTAATTACTAATAGTAAATTATATTTAATTAAAAATTAACTTGAGTTTTTTTATTAATTATAATTAATAAAAATTCAAGTAATATATTATTATTATATATTATAAAAAATTAATTTATAAATTTTATATATTAATTAAATAATATTATAATATTTAATTATATAAAATAATATATTTAATAATTTAAACTATTATTTATGAATTTTATATATAAAATTAAGTATAATATTAAGTTTTAATATATAAAATATCAAATATAAAATATATTTTTCAGATTCTATTCTATAAATTTAATATTTAATATATTTTTTTTAGAAAATATTAAGATATTATATAAATATAAATTAATAAAAATTTATAAATTAATATTTTAAATATTTATAATTTATAAAATAAAATTTGAATAATATATTTTATTATTAATATTTTATATATTAAACTTAATATTATATTTATTATATATAAATTTATAAAATGATATTTATAACTAATATTATATTTATCAAAATTATTATTAAAAAATAATTTAAAAATATTAATAATTACTAATTATTAGCAAAAATATCTTGATTTAATGATTATTAAAATTTATCAAACTGATCAAAATTATAAATATAATTTATTTTTATGATTAAATTTATTAAGTTTATATATATATTTTATATTAATTTGACTGAAAAATAAAAATAACTTGTTTTATAAGTAGCTTATTTTTAAAAATTTATAATAATATTTATTCTGTAATTAATTGATTTAAAATTATAAAATTCATATTATATAAAGTGATTATTCTGATATTATCCATTTTAAAATATAGAAAATTATCTTTAGAAATCTTGAGAATAATAGAATTTTATATTACCAAAAATAATGTGATCTAGCAAATATTATTTCTTTAATTACAAAATTTTCTGATTATAATTATAAGAATATGATGAAATTTTAATATACTTCAGAGCTTAAATTAATTTAAATTTTAAAATTTAAAATTTAAAATTTTTCAGAATTGGCTCTTGTTGGATAGTTTGAATAGCTCGAAAAATTATTATTAATTTAATTATATAGATATTTGGACAACATTTTGAACTGGCCAAGAGCCAATCCTGTAAATAATTTATAAGTAATTTAGTAATTTGTTATTATATAGTGTTCTTAATTATATTCAAAGTAACTATTATAATCTTCAAGTTTATTGGTAGTATCATAAAGGAGACGATGAAAGATTAATAACAAAATGGTACGAACATGAACACATTTAGAGACTTTCGTATGTGGGATTTGGAATGAAAAATTCTGGAAAATTTATTTTAGGGATGGGATTTTTCTCCGGGCTTTGCAAAATAGTTGACCATCCCGGTTACGGTAATGATCTATATTTCGTCAGTTCGATCATTTCAATATTTTTGATGGCTTTCGCGACAAATCTTTTATCTAGGTCGTTGTCTCGGCAGCTTCAACTTCAGAAAACTTTAATAAAATGTCCAAAGATATACGTCTCACAACAACAACATTCTCGGAAAATAAATACTTGTAGAACATGGGCAAGAACAAATAAGGGTTTGAAACCCCAAACTTGTAAATACCGAATTAGTTATTCTACAGAGAAAACTTCACAATATATTTCTCGAGAAAATTCGGCGACAAAAACAGGATCTAAAATAGATGAGGTTGACAGCTCAGACAAGACAGTATCACAAAGTATTTCTCGAGAAAATGCAATAGGAAAGACAGAAAGCACTATAGATGTAGTTAATGAACCTGAGCAACCTAATGTGGACACTTCAGCTGATGCAACTATCCAAGATTCAAAGTCTCTAATTGATAAAAATCGCTTAATGACAGAGAATGCAAGCATTGTTGAGTCAACAACTCCTTTGATAAATCCCGAGCAGATATCTTCTGAACAAGGGTTACATAGAGGTGAAAAACTTTCTCAGAAGGGTAACCAAATTCCAGTCGGGGAAAAAACAGAAGCTACTTTACCTGAAATAGTGTCACAGTCCTCATCACCTTATCAACCTATTCGAGAAACGATAGCCGAGAAAGAGAAAAGCGACTCTTCAAGAAAGGAGCCAAGCGATGATGGTTCATTTCGAAATAAATTTAAAGAATTCTCAAAGATAAAACTTTCATCTCTACATAAATTACCTATTTTCTTGATTATATCAGCGATAGGGTTGACCAGCATTGGAATATATCAATTTTACTCTTCAAACATCCAAAAATATCCAGAGACAATTCGTAATAATTTAAAAAAAGGACTTTATTATCAGAATTATGCAAATAATTCGAATTTAGCTGTAGACTATTACCAAAAAGCTCTAACAGAAGCATTACATTCGCCCGAGTTAGAAAACTCATCACCAGAAGTTACTGGCATTATGATCCAGCTGGGTGGTTTATACGAAGAACTTGGAAGATTCCGCGACGCAATAGATGTACTTTCAATGGCATATGATGTAATTGTTACACCGAATGATTCACCACCACTGAAATTGGATGGTCAAAATCGAATAAAAGCCATCGGAATAGCGCAAAAAATCGGTGATCTGTGTCAAACGATAAAGCAGGATGACTTAGCGGAGAAATATTATGTCTGGTCAGTGGGACAATTGTTAATGGCACAATCTGAAGAGATTCAAGAAAACGAGGAAAATAATAATAGCAATAATAGTAATAGTGGAAGCGGATTTTGGGCAAGATTGTTTGGAAAAAAATTGGATGTGGATACTATGCCATCATGGATGACTGCTGTAGATCTTGGAGCTTCACTCGAGTCGTTAGCTTCCTTTTATGCTCTACGGCATAAATATACGTAAGATCAGTCAATTTTTGTCTGACAATCTATATTTCGGTTTTTATATTATTAATCTTTTTCATATCAAAGATAGTTCCGCGCTTCCATTATACATACGTGCATTACAATTGGTGAATTCCATTGAACTGCCATGCCATACAGCAGTTCTCATGAATAATATATCAGAAGTGTTTACAGGAATGGGTGATCTGGAGGTAGCACAAGGGTGGGCAGAGCGTGGATTAAGAATCACGCAGGAGAAATCACATTTGCAAAAGAAAAATTCAAGAGAGTGTGATGAAACTCGTGGAGTATTGCTATTTAATTTGGGAATGATAGCAGAGGTAAGCCTTCTTATATGTAATCTCTGCTCAAACTACTTTTTTAATGATCGAAATACTTTATTATTAATATTCAAAAATAAATAAATAAATATATATATATATATATGATAGTTATCGGGAAATTTAAGTAGAGCAACAGAATACTATGAGAAATCGAGAATACACGCAAAATCTATCAAATTCCACGATTGCGTAAAAGAAGCTGATGCTGCATTACAGAGGATCACAGCTGTAATGAATGATGCCAAGGAAGATACTGCTTCGTCGTAATGTATCAAGACAAAAAAACGCGTCTTTTATTCTTCTTATTCTTATTCTTATTTAATAGAACCAAAAATTTGTAAATATCACAATATCGGACGGACTTTTGCTTTATTTATAAAATTAAAAATTACAATGTCACTGACTATATAAAGTTACGTGTGTAACCTCGAGTTGCATATTTTAAACCGTGGCCAAATCCAATTGGTTACAATATAACAAGATATATCACGATCTAACGATCCTCTATTTGTCAAGCACCTAATAAATACCTCAACCTTCCATTTTACCATACCAAGAGATTATTTATTAAAAGAATTTGTAAAAAGTCATAGTTTATTGAAACTGAAACTCGTCATTTAGCATGGAAGAGCGTGCTGAAGCCCCACCAGAGATCTTGAATGTTGTAAAGTACTTGCGTTCCAGTGCTTCGGGTATCAAACTTCGAGGCGGAATCTATAATGGAAAACGAGTGGAATATTTTAAAGGTTTTTTTATTGGTTTATTCACAATAGATTGGAAAGACTAATTTTGATTTTTGTACCGTTGATTTACACATTTCTTCTTTGTTCTAGGTAAATCTGCTGTGAAGGCACTACTAAAAGACTCGTATACAAAATTAAAAAATGTCCCAAAAGTCACAAGTTCTGAGGAAGCCGCAAAACTGTTACAAGACATTCTTCCATACGTACTATTCCTGCGAGTCGAACGTTCAAACAACGATTCATCACAACGTAATGCCCCGAAACTTTTAACAATTTGTCACACACAAATGTTTGCTGAGGATCAATATTACGTTTGGATCTACGAAGGATCACAATTGTGGACAATACTCGGCGGGATCGGGTTAATAGCAATCGTGTTTGCGGGGGTGATGTTTCCGCTCTGGCCAGCGATTCTTCGTGATATTGTATGGTATTTGGCGGTAGCAGTGCTTATTTTATTTGGTATTTTGATGATTATAGCGGTGATAAGGCTGATCTTTTTCATTATCACAATGGTGGTTTTGCCGCGTGGGATTTGGATCTTTCCGAATTTGTTTGAGGACGTCGGGTTTGTGGATAGCTTTATACCGTTGTGGGCTTGGGATGTGCCGAAAAAGAAAGAAAAGGTAGTGGCTGATGATGAAGAGGACGATAACAATGCTAGTGGCTCTAATAAAGAAAATGGCATCACTGGAAGCAATAATAATAATGAGATTAAAAACAGAAATCTTCAGACTACAGTTCAAGATGAATACAATGAAGATGATGAGAAGACTGAAGATGAAAAGAAGGATGACTGATTAAAAGAAGGTTTTGTTGTCCCCTTTAATTAACTTACTTTTATAATGTATCGGCAAAATTATTGGAATTAATGTGGGAGTATTTAATTATTGTTGATCGGTATGCAAATTGTATGGACAATATTTCTTTATTTAATAATAGCAATAATTTTGTTAACCATGACTGTATGTCTATAATTTTTATTATTTACTGTCTTAATTGTTAAAAATAAAGAATTTATTTAAAATTGATTCTTTTTTAGATATTTAGATAGTAATTTATATTCTCAATTTATGTAATATAATAATCCATTATATTGGATTAATCAATTAAATACAATCAAATTTCACTATAGCTATCACTCTTGAAAAATAAAATTGGATAATGATAAAGAGATGTGATTATAAAAAGTATTTTTAATTATAGTTATAAAAAATAAATTTTGTTCTGAAATTAATATCATAAATAAAATAAAAGTTATAGAATTGAAATATTATAAAAATATAAAGTAAATAATAAATATTAAACAATTTATTTCTTTAATATTTTAAATTAAAATGTGCAAATAAGAATATATTTTATCTTTTTTTTTGTAGTATTAAAATAATATAGTTATATTGTTATCATTTTAAGTTTATGCATATATAAATATTTTAAAATAATAATAATAACTATATTTATAATAATTATTTACTTTTATAACTTTAGGAGATTATATAATTAATTATCTTCTCAATAAGATAATATATACATGTTTACTTTAAACTAAAATACAATTATCTTCTTAATAAGATAATTTATATGTATTTACTTTAAACTAAAATATAATTATCTTCTCAATAAGATAATTTATATAAATTTACTTCTAACAAAATGCTTTCTCAATAGAGCAAGAAGAAAATAAAGATAAAATATAAGATAAAATATATATGTTTTATTAAAAAAAATACTAATTAACTATTCTTAATTCAGTAGCTAATTCTTTCTATCAAATTTAATTATTCTTCTTGATTACTTTTTGACTCTTTATATATAATATTTTCTTTACTACAAATTGTTTCTAACATAATATTTTACTTAATTTACTTAAGAACAAGTAGAATTTCAAAAGAATAATCACAAGAAATATTAAATACATGATAATAAAGAATTAAAATTAGTGAAATATTAAGTTATTTGAGAAATGAAAGAAAATTAATAATAATTAATTAGAAAATTATTAATTTAATAAAATTATAAATTAGATATGATAGACATACTAAATTAATAAAAGAATAAGACTAAATATAAATAATAATATAAACTAAAAATAGAATAAGATTAATTAATATAAATTACTTATTCATCTGATTTAGTAATGATTAGCAATTACTGCGCTATGTGATGTAACTGTACCATATGCTATGCTATATCCTACTATACTAGATGAATAGGTGATTAATTATAATATAAATATATATATTTTTTTATAACTGATTTTAAAAATATTGTAACCAATTAGCTTATTCATGTAATGTAGTAAACATGGTACAGCATATGATATAGCTATAGCACATGGCGCAGTACTAGCTGATCACTACTAAATTGGGTGAATAAGTAATTTATATTAATTAATTTAATTATTATTAATTCTATTTTTAATTCATATTATTATCTATATTTAGCCTTATTCAAATATTAATTTAGCTATGTGTGTCACACTTAATTTATAGTTTAATTAAATTAATGATTTTCTTATTAATTATTTTTATCTTTTCTTTCTTTTCTTATTTTATCTTTATTAACTTAATGTTTTGCTAATTTTAAATCTTTATTATCATGTATTTAATATTCTTTGTGATTATTCTTTTCAAATTCTACTTGTTCTT